ATACAAGGCCCTCTATAGGACCTTGTACCAGGGAACATGGCTCTGTGGAAGCTTCCCCTGAACCCCAGCAATGTCCCTCCAGGACAAGCTGAGAAAGTCCTTCTCAAGGCCTATTTTGATGGAAGGGCTTGTGGTATCTGCAGCCTCTCATGCCCATTTCCTTCTATGCTCTCAGCTATGGGGCCCCTTGTCTTTCTGTAGGGGAAATTGTCCTACATTGGACCTTTTCCCAAGACTTTCACAAAGCAGGGCTGTACTCTGACTTCACTGGGTTTCTGTGACAGAAGTGCAAGGTGATACTCACAATAGAAAAATTAAGAACAAACATGGAAGTGATAATTTTATATACAAGAAATTGGGGTTACTAGGCTCTAGCTCTAAGGAAAAGCTTATATCAGTACAATAGAGCAAAAGACAAAAGCCTTCCATAATCGGTAATATATTTATGGACATTAAATTGTGGAAATATCCAACACATTATTATGTGGGAACCACGTTTCCAAAAGTAGAATAGCTGAAAGCAGTTAAACATACTAAGAATTCCATGTTCTGTATGTTCAAACAAAAGTTTAGGACATATTCTAAAAAAATCTTGACAACCCAATGGCTTTAATGGTACATTTAAAAAGTAATTTCTTACCACTGTGAGTTCATACAGGTGACTAGGAAATGGTCAGTACAAAACAAATAATTTAAAAATAAAACAAAATAGGTCCTCTAACTATGATTTGCACTAAGCATGTAAAATTATAAGGTGCCTGAGGACGAGTGGAATCAGAAAGTCTCATGGTATCTCTGCAGATTTCCAGCTCTAGGGAGCATGATGGAATGAGTCCATTTGGCTCTCTCCGGAAGAGTCTGTCCTTGCCAAGGTGAGAAATAACCACTGTTACTGGGGTTTACAGATACTCACTGCCTTAAAACTGCTACTGCGAATACTGCATACAGCACTGGCTGAAGAAAACAATGTGACAACCCCTTAAGGAGTCGTCCTCAACATGACCTCATAAACCAGCCATTCCATTCTCAGCACAGACCCAAGAAACTGCCACCTGGTGAGGAAATAAGGACTCAAGCACAAATGATCATGACAGTCTGTGTACTAGAGCCAAAACTTATAAAACACCTAGTCTTCATGTTCAGGCTACAAAAATTTTTTTTTATTCACTACCTTTATTGGTACATTTTAGGTATACAGTATGATGACATTCATAGTTGGAAATCTGTACCCTTTTGTAAGATATCTTGGTACCTATTTTTCCCCATTCCCTTGCCCTCCCTTCCACCCCAGCACCCTTCCCTATTTACAAAGACTTTGTTTCCAGTTTTTCCTCTTCTCATTTTTATCCCTTTATCTTCCCCTACACTTCCCACTTTCCCTCCTCCCTTCCTATTTAATATTATCTATTAAACATTTTGATCCTTCTTTACACTTTGTTTCTCACACCAGAGAAACTATATTTGCACGTGTGTCCTATTAATTTCACCTCAGTATACAATGTATTTAGCTACAAACATCTTTACTTTCTCATTCTTTATGTCTCAGAAGCTCTCCATCTTATAAAAAAAAAAAACACACATCTTTTTCATCCAGTCACCTGTCGATTTCCTCACTCTGTCTCCTGCCCCTTCTTTGTATATTTTTTGGTTTTTCAGACAGGTTTTTCTTGCTATGTACTGGATGCTGGCCTTGACCTCACTATATAGCCCAGGCTTGAACTGGTAGCAATCCACCTACCTCAGTTTCCCCACTGCTGGGCTTATAGGCATGTGCCACCACACCCACCATTCTGCCCTGAGGTGAGAACCATCACACCCTTCCACTGTGATATTCAGCTTCACCACAGGCTCAGAAGTAATGAAATCTAATGAGCAGGGACAGGAACCTCTGACTGTGAGCCAAAATAAAGCTTTTGCCTTTAAATTGATTTCTCAGGTATTTTATCACACCCACAAGATGGAAATGGAAAGCTACTTAATACACCCACAAGGCACACAGGAGAGCTCTCCAGGCTGGAAAAGCCACCAGGCTATCATGAGAAGTCCTGGGCAAGGAGCAGGTGCATTCTGCCTCCATCCAAAAATAAAAAAGAAGTGCTTTCTTCTTCCTGTGCAGTCATCAGTCCTGTGTTTAACAATTATAATTAGCCATACCTTAATTTTTGAAGATGGCCTGTAGAATCAAACAAAATGAGAGAGATGAAGAATCCATTCACTTAGTTTTAAATACATCTATGGATGTTTATGGTCCAACCTAGATAAGTAAGTAGTGACGTAAGTAGAAAAATAAATAAATAAATTGATCCAGAGGTGAAGGAATTTGAGAATTAGGGATAAGTCACATGTTTAGGAAGCACTGAGGGGTGAAGCACTTCTGTATG